AATTGTATTCACAAAAATAATTTGGTACCTGATAGTTTTGGGACTAAGAGCGAAGTGGCAAAAAATGGCAACAATATTGTGAGCGAATTGGTATCAACGACAACAAACTAACAATATAGTGGCGACGACAACAACTATATGAGTGATGAAGACAATGAAACTATGAGTGAAGTGCTGATGAGGTGAAAACGAATTGGCAATCGTAAAGAAAGTAGTAGTGGTGCCTTGAAGAGGAAAACAATTTTAAAATTTATTAATTTTAAAGAGGAAAATTAATTGATTTTTAAGAGTTGACAAAACTACTTGATTTTAGAATTCACATAATAGAAAAATATAGATTAAAATTTAAATTGAGGTTTTGTGTAAGTAATTATTTTTTAAAAGAATACATTTGATAGGTTATTTGTTAAAATGGGGATTTCACATATAAAAGGGAAGATTCAGAGAAAAATTATTTGGCATTAAGGGAGATGAAACTAAAGAGAAAGAGCCTCAAACATAAAGAACTCGAAAGTGAATGAAAAATTTATTGATTTTGAAGAGAAAAAAATATTTTTTATTTAAAAAAATCTTATGAAAAATAAGAAATCCTAACAACTATCTTAAAAAAAAATCACATGTGAATGATTTTACACTTTCTCACTCTTTATTATATTATGGAAAATGCTTATTAGTAAGAAAGTATGAAAGTAAAAAAGACAAGAATTAAATTTCAATTATTTATACTTTATTACTCTAAAACAATGACAAATATACATTCTTAATTTTTTATATTCAAATGATTCTTACTATATAACATTACTCTATATTGTATATTTAAATTATTCTTTTAATTCTTTGATAATTTTTATGAGTTTTATTGTTAGGAAGAGACTTAGTTGATTCATTTTCCTAAAAGTTGCCTATTTTATTATGAATCTAATTAATATGCATTGACAATAAATAATTTTTACACCATTAATGCATTAGAACTGTTAAATATTTATACGTGTTTGACTATTTTTTTAAATGATATCAAAAATAGTACTTATGATTTATGAATGTTTGAGATGTATTAATGGTGTAAAACTTTTTACATTAATAATGCATATTAATTAATATTTCTATTAGAATTTAATTGACCGACAATGTAAAAGAATTTTACACTATAAGTAAATCATAATCGTTAAATTGTTATAGATAATCAAATTATTTTAATCACATATACAAAATAATACTTGTGAATAATTATGATGCTTGGACATTGTAAAAAAAGCGTATATCAATTATTCTCCTTTTATTATTTAAATGTTTTATAATAAAATTAGTAGAAGACCCGCGCGTCTGCACGAGTTCTAACATTTGTAACTTTAAGTAAAAATTATAATTGTAATGATAAAATATGTAAATAATGAAATGTGAAATAGTAGTAAGTTATAACCAAAATATTATATTAATGGGCAATATTAGTTTAAACAACCACATGAAAGAATGAGTTTTGTAATTTTCCCCAATAAAATGAGATGTTTTTTGGTATTCAATAGAAAAATCATGTCTAAAAAAAGTTCTTTCATATCTTTTATAAATATCACTAATGGATATTGATCGTACCTGATCAGAGTTGGACCATCACAACTGGCTTTGAATTGGATTTGAAGGAGATGAGGGGGTACCTGCAAGACACTCCGATGGCAAAGTGAGAGACGGAATGAGCAAGCAAGTAAGTATGTAGGTGTGAATGAATGAATACCTGACCCTCTCATGAGAGAGGGTATTTGTAGCCCCCAGCATTGGGCCAAGGTCCCCACCATTGGGCCACACAGATGCCCAATAACGGGAACTTCCAGAGTTTACGTGAGTATGGAGTCCAACAAGTGGACTCCCCCCTGGTCAACCGCTCTGTGAGAATAGGGTTGGACCCGAAATTCCCGGTGGGCAGTTTGATGTGTCTGCTGAGAAGTGGTGGGCCACGTCCCCCAACGGTTAGATGGGGAGGTGCCCCATAATCTCTAACTTTGGCCATTTGGGTCTTCTTTTCGTAGGGTAAACGTAGGCCCAGTCCAGATCAGGAGCCCCCCAAGTTATTGTCCTCGAGTTAGAGGGTGATGACTTGAGTGCAGTTCATGTTATCAAAGGCTTGGTCGGGATAGAGGATCGAAGTCCCCGAAAGGAGCGGATCGTTGCCCATGTGGTCGACATATTTATAATTGCGTTATTCATTCGTTTTGATAACTTTTTGGATGTGTGTTCCCGACCATTGTGGTGGTCGTTATGAATATTTTTACGAAGTTCGTGTTCACGCGGAGATGCTTGTTCGACCCTATTGATTTGACATACTTCGAAATGTGTCGAGGGTGCGGATTGGCTGTCCGCGGGACGGGCGCATGATCACGATCGAGATCCTACGCTCATGGCGTGAACTGCCCATCGCGAGCTGGGTGTTATACCATGTTGGGGTACTTTGACAGTGGGGCTCGATTGAGATGCCCCTGTTGGGCAAGGGTGTCGCTCATCAATGTGAGTGATATCATGCCTTTGTTGGTTGGTAGGAAGTATCTGTACCTCGACACGCCTACATGGTCGAGATTTTCCCTTTTGTCGACTAAAGGTGAATATTCGACGGCGAAAGTCCTCAGCTGGTGAGGGGCTTTAGCTGTAATATTGTTTCAGCTTTGCAGTGTTCCAGGGTCGAGGAAGTGGATTTCCATCTAATTTCTCGAGGTAATATGCTCTGGTGTCCGTAGCTCCCCGGACGCGATAAGGTTGCTCCCAGTTTGCGGCCAACTTTCCTTCGCGAGAATCCTTCTGGTTTCTCCGTAAGACTAGACTGTCGACCTGAAATTCGCGTCTTATGACTCTGCTGTCGTGGCGTAGGGCTACCTACTATTTCAGAGTGGCCTCGCGTAGGGCTGCTCCTGAACGAATTTCTTCTACAAGGTCGAGCTCGTCTTTCAGAGCCTCGTCATTCATCTCCTCGTCGAGGGGCATCTCAGTTCTCCTCGATGGCTCCATGATTTCTACTGGGATGACTGCCTCGATTTCATAGGTCAGTCGGAATGGAGTCTCATCTGTCGTCGAATGGGACGTGGTGCGGTAAGCCCACATAATGCTATGTAGTTCTTCGACCCACCCCGTTTTTGCTTCGCCCAGTCTGCGCTTAAGTCCTTGTAGGATGACCCTGTTGGCGGCCTCGACTTGCCCGTTGGTTTGGGGATGCTCGACTGAGGTAAAATGTTGTTTGGTGTCGAGTTTAGCGATGAAGCTTCGGAAGCCTTGGTCGGTGAATTGGGTACCGTTATCTGTGATTAGCGCCTGTGGGATTCCAAATCGGGCGAGAACGTTTCGTTTGTAAAAGTAGAGCATGTTATGTGAGGTGATTTTCGCAAGGGCCTCGACCTCTATCCACTTTGTAAAGTAATCCACGACCACGACGAGGAATTTGTTTTGGTACGTTCCTTGCACGAATGGTCCGAGAATGTCCATCCCCCACCAGACAAATGGCCACGGGGATGACAATATATTCAGCTCTTATGGCAGGGCGAGATGCATGTCGGCGTGCTTTTGGCATTTGTCGCATCTCTTGATGTGGTTTTTGGCGTCTTGTTGCATTGTCGGCCAGTAGTACCCCGCTCGAAGTGCCTTCCTTGTTAGGGATTTGCCGCCCATGTGATGGGCGTTAATACCTTAATTAGTGTATTTCCCGTAATATCTCGGGGACTGCGGATTCGTCGATGCACTTCAAGAGTGGGATGGAGAACCCCTGCGATATAGTTTGTGTTCGATCATCACGTAGGAGCATGCTCGTCGTTTGGTTGTGGCTGCTTCTCTTTGATCCAGGGGGAGTTCCCCCTTTGTTAGGAAGTTGAACACCGGGGTCATCCAGCGACCAACAGAAGCATCAATATATCAAATATCTACACAGTTCCCTAACTGAAAATGAAAAACAATATTAATAGTTGTGATCCGGAAAATACCCTTTACATCAAGCTATATTGAGAAACGTCATAATCAAGAATTCAAGATACCCTTTACATCAAGCTATGTTGAGAAACTCCAAAAAGATGAAGAAACCCTAAAAATGAATATCAGAACGAATCTACTAATGAAAACAAAAAAAATCAATGAATCACAAATTATTTCGCCGGAACACTACGAACAACAACAAACCCGTACAAATAACATCCAATGAAATAAGTGTCGGCAACAAACAAAATGAAATTGAGTAATCAAAAGATTCACACCGAAAATAGAAGATAAAACAAAGCATTAGGGCATAAAAATATACAAAATACACATGAATATGAAAGTGAAATTTCACCATGACACGAAGACAATCATTGAATAAATATAGTTACCTCAAAAACAAATTGGTACGGTGTTGAAGATGAATCAACCTGAGGACGGTGTAAGTTCTAGGTTTTTACGCCTTTGCTCTCTCTCAGCTTTTTAAGACGACCATTTCAGTCGCTTCTCCCTCCTAAAACTCACATATCCAAAATCTTGAGAAATCTGAAAACGATAAAATCCGATAACATCACCGGACACACTGAGAGAAAGGGGTAGACGAGAAAGAGGGAGAACAACGAGAAAGAGTTTTTGAAAAAGTAAAGAGAGAGAAATGTTGAAAATGAGATGTATTAAAATGATGTATAAAATTGTCTATTGGATAATACATCTTTTCAGTCAAAATTCAATAAAAAAAAATTAAAAAATACGTGTCTATTAGATAAATGAGACAATGTCATTGATCCAATTTAATTTATTTAACAAATTACTCTTAAGGACATTTATAAGTGTAAAATTATTTTGAAAAAAAAGACTAATTAAGAGCAGTTGATTAAATAAAATTGTTATTTTAAATACGATGTAAGAGGCTCCGTGACACGGGTATAGTTGTTGGGGAAATAACAATGAAAGAAAGGGGGCAATGATCGATGAGAGAAAAATTGGATAATGCCTTGAAATTTGCAATAACGTGTTACTAAAACTCCAAACTCAAACCCTAATTCATCACATTCGCCATGGAAGTTACTTCTGCAATCCATCGTCTCTATCTCTTTCACCAAGAACCCAGATTCTCCTCTTTCAAACTCGTAAGTGCCATCATTTTTAACTCAATCTTTATCCATTTATTATTTGTTTGGTTTTATTGAATTTCTCTGATTATTGCATTGCAGTTACGCCCTCAAACAGGAACGACACCTTGTAAACATCCATTTCTCAATTATGGTGTGTGAATTTTGACTTCTTTGTGTTTGCTTACTTGTTATGTGTTTTAGTATGTGAAATTTTATCTTCCTTTTCATCGATAGCTTCTCAAAGAAATGTGTTGAGGGTATCATTTTGTCCCACTGGATCTCGTTACTGTTACAAATTGAATCTTCGAAATAAACTCCCCAGGGATGTGGTTGTAAGATCCGATATTACTGCGGCCGGGTCTGCAGGAGAAGGCTATTCAGGTCCTGGTTTGTAATTTTGTATTAAAATGTCTTGTTTGTTTACTTTAGGTTAAAACTTGATGCATGTTCTTTATGTGATTGTTGTTGTTCAATTTATTGTAGAACTCAAATTGGAAGCAAAAGTTAGGGGAGTTTGTTTTTATGCTGTTACTTCCTTTGCTGCTATATTTCTTTTTGTGTTGATGCTGGTTGGACATCCATCTGTGCTCCTGTTTGATCGTTACCGGAGAAAGTTCCATTATTTTGTTGCTAAAGTCTGGGCTACGCTCACTGTGACTCCGTTTTTCAAAATTGAATATCAAGGGTTGGAGAATCTTCCACCTCCAGATACTCCTGCCGTCTATGTTTCCAATCATCAGAGTTTTCTAGACATATATACTCTTCTAACTCTGGGAAGAAGCTTTAAATTCATAAGCAAGACTGGGATATTCCTTTTTCCAGTTATTGGATGGGCAATGTTTCTTTTGGGTGTTATTCCTTTGAAGCGCATGGATAGCCGAAGCCAGATGGTATTCTTTCACCATTGTTTTTGCAGCTAATATTAACCAGTTCTTCTTGATTAAATGTTAGTGTTTTCTTTGATATTATCCCCCTCCCCCCTCGTTTTTAAGATATTGATAGAACTCAAATCATTGCCGTGTTTGCTTCTTCATCTATAGGAGTGTCTTAAAAAATGCATGGATCTGATCAAGAAAGGCGCCTCTGTTTTTTTCTTTCCAGAGGGAACACGCAGTAAAGATGGAAAGTTAGGTGCATTCAAGGTGAGTTTGTATCACGATTACTGTAATAAGGTATCAAAATTATAGCCAAAGGTTAGAAAAGTAGTAACTGTTGAGATATTATTTTTATTATTATTCAGTATCTATTGCTTTTATTAGTAGTATCAATTAGGATATTATTGTATTACATCTTTCTATAATTAGTGGGGTTGATTAGGAGGCTGAGACCTATATATATGTGTGTAATTTTTCCTTCATAATAAGATAAGGAATGCAATTTCAACATGGTATCTAGAGCTAGGTCTTAAACCCTATCTTTTTTCTATTTTTTTCCTCTCTTGAGTGTGCAAACAACATTGGTCAAATCTGCTGCCGTCTCCAAACAAGTCACGCACCCGCCAATGGTGGTTGGAAGTCTCCGATCTACCACCCACCGAAGCTGCGCTATCAAAAGACCCCCTCACGCGCCGCCATGCCCCGCAAATAGTGTAACCCACACGCAACACTCGCCGACCTGTGTAATTGGCTCGGTTTTTCCTTCTGATTCCAGTGGGACCACTTTCAGTTTGTGGGTCTCACGTTTAAGGTGCATTTCGAAAGGTTCTTTGCCTAAGGCATATTGGTGCGTTGTTATTCCTCTTTGTTCGCCGCATACAACCTATCGATTGTGTGTTCTCTCTACAATCCCGAGTGATTTATTTATTGGTGTTGAAATCATGACTGAAATTGTTTTGGAGAATCCTCCTAAAATGGGTCTTATTTCGTTTGCGTTTCTAGGAACACCCGTTATTACTACGAATAAATTAAATGGTAATAAGAACTATTTGAATTGGTATGTTTCGGTTGAGTTATGGTTTTTAGGACAACGTTTGTTAGATCATCTTACTAAAAAAGTTATAGAAATTGAAATTGATAAAGATATCAAAGATGATTGGGAAGCCGGTGATTATCAACTTGTATCATTGTTGTGGAATTCTATTGAACCAAATCTGATGGCACACTTTCGTGTGTATAGGTCATGTTATGAGGTTTGGCAGAAGGCTAAAAACCTATGCCAACGATATTTAAAGAATGTATGCGTCGGTCCGCAACTTGACTACTCTTCAAATGAATGATTACGACTTATCAGAGTATCTCACACGTGCTCAGTCTACTATTGATGGTCTCAAACTTATGTTGGTTAGTGATTATATTACGAAGGTACTAGGCAAGCTTGACAATATGTTCATGGTGTTTGTTCTTCATGGCCTCTCTAAAGAATATAGCTCGGTAAAAGACCAGGCGTTAACAAATACTACCATCCCTATAGTAGAAGAACTAATAGATCGTCTTGTCCGAGTATCTGTACCAAGTGATGACACTCATTCTACTCTCAAGTCATCTGTTTTTGTTTGCAACTTTAATAATGGAGGACGTGGTGGACGTGGCCGTGGTCGAGGACGTGGTAGAGGAGGTAGAAGTAACTTCTATTGCACTCATTTGTAAGAAAGATGAACACACCCAAGATCGGTGCTTTGACGTACATGGCTACCCAAACAAAACTGCTAATGTTGCTTAAACCACTGCAAATCGTGATTCAAAGGGTGAACTCAAAACTACTTTCTCAGTCGATGAGTATAAGGAGTATTTGCGATTGAAGGCAGCACCACAATATTTAATTCTATAAGCAAATTAACCAGTTCTTTAAACTGTGTCATAATATTTAATTTTGATTCCTTTTTGATACAGGACTGGAGTACGGGACAAACGATTGGAGTCAGAATTGATTCCCATGGTCTTTACTATCTTCAACGATCCACTTCCGCTATATGTGCTACTATTGAATCTCCTGCTATTCTGCATCGTCGCTTAGGTCATCCGAGTTTATCAAAATTGAAGAAAATGTTGTCTGGTCTTCCTCATTTAGAGTCCTTACAATGTGAATCGTGTTAGTTAGGAAAACATGTTAGAGTGTCTTTTTCTAGTCGCATTAATAACAAAGCTTTGTCTCTTTTTGACGTCGTTGATTCCGATGCGTGGGGTCCTACTCAGATTCCTTCTATCCTAGGGTATAGGTATTATGTTACTTTTATTGATGATTTCTCAAGATGTACTTGGATATTTTTAATGAAAGACCGTTCTGAGTTTATCAATATTTTTAAGAATTTTTGTTTTGAAATTTCGACACAGTTTGGCAAAACAATTCACATTTTACGCAGTGACAATGCAAAATAATATTTTTTCGATCGTTTCAACTCTTTCATGCACGCCAAAGGCATCGTTCATCTATCGAGTTGTCCCTATACGCCTTAACAAAATGGTGTCGCTGAAAGAAAACATCGACACATTGTTGACATTGCTCGTACCCTTTTGCTAAATGCCAATGTACCTAAAAAATTTTAGGGTGATATTGTTCTTACTGCCGGGTATTTAATTAACTGGATGCCATCCTCTGTGTTGAATGATCAAGTTCCTCATTCCTTAGTGCACCATGCAGATCCCTTATATGTTGTTCTACCTCATGTCTTTGAATGTACGTGTTTTGTTCATGATTTGACCCCATGTCATGATAAAATGTTTGCTTGTGCTATCAAATGCATTTTCCTTGGCTGCTCCCGCGTCCAAAAGGGATATCGATGTTACTCTCCTACACACCGTTTCTACACGTCTGCAAATGTTACATTCTTTGAGGACATACCTGTTAGAAAGTGAACTAGGATAGAAAGGAAGAGAAAGAAGAGAGAGAATCATTCTCATTCACTAACAAAAAATGCATAGTCAGTTACAAAAATGGGTTAGGGCAAGCTTATATATCTCTCACCCAACTGTGTTGACTCAGCACAATGACGTTACAAATATACCCCTGCTAGCTTACTACCACTTACTCTAATAATTTCTCTAGAAACCCAGATCACTCCTGCACCAGAGTGGTTTTATTCAGAACCTGTAACTTGCCTCTGAGTTGCAAAAACTTGAGAGGAGAGAGAGGCTTGGTGAGTAAGTCAGCATACTGATCAAAGGCAGGAATGTGTTTCACAACCAGGCTTTTATTCAACACTTTTCCCTTAGAAAAAAGATATCAAGCTCCATATATTTGGTTTTGACATGTAAGATAGGATTATGAGATAGGGCTACAGTGCTAAGATTATCACACAAGAGAACTGGAGTGGTGAATGACATTTTCAGTTCTGTAAGTAAAGACTGAATCCATAGCACTTCAGCAGCAGAATTAGCAAGACTCCTGTATTCTGTCTTTGTGCTGGATCTGGCTACCAGAGTCTGTTTCTTTGACCACCAGCAAACCAAATTAGGGCCTAGAAATATGCAGGACCCAGAAGTGGATTTTCTCTCATCAGAGTCTGTACCCCAATCAGCATCAAAAAAGACTGTAATGACCTGAGTGTTATCCCCCTGAAGATGAATCCCATGGTAAAGAGACCCTTTAAGATATCTTAAGATCCTTTTTACAGCAGCCCAGTGACTCTCTAAGAGATTGGACAAAAACTGACAAGCTTTATTCACTGCATAATTGATCTCAGGCCTTGTGATGGTGGCATACTGCAGTGCCCCAACTATATACCTGTAGTAAGTAGGATCCTGCAAGCAGTCTATGCCATGTTTAGTGAGTTTAAGACTTGAAATCATGGGAGTGAGGACTCCATTTGCTTCACTCAGCTTGGCCTTAACTAAAAGATCTTTCATGTATTTTGTTCGAGACAGAAATAGAGATCCATCCCTGAAATGAGACACCTCAATTCCCAGAAAATACTCAAGTTTGCCTAATTGTTTGAGAGCAAACTGAGCATGGAACTTGGTGACCAGTTTCTGAATATGTAAAGCAGAATTTCCAGTGACAATAATATCATCTACATATACTAACATAATGATAGTATATGTAGAAGTAACAAGGGTAAACAAGGAGGGATCACACCTGCTAGAGGAGAATCCAAAACTCCTAAGAGATGATGTAAGCTTCTCAAACTAGGCTTTGGGGCCTGCTTGAGTCCATAGATGGCTTTATTAAGTCTGCACACCAACGAAACCAGAGTTGCTGTCCTCAAAGCCAGGGGGCTGCTCCATATACACTCCTCTTGGAGTGTGCCATTGAGAAAGGCATTATTCACATCCAATTGTGTGATATGCCACTTCTTGGAGACTGCTACAACGAGCACAATTCTGACAGTCATTGGTTTGACAACAAGAGAGAAGGTTTCAGTAAAATCAAACCCTTCTTGTTGATGGAAACCTTTGGCCACCAACCTAGCTTTGTACTTGTTTAGGGTTCCATCAGGGTTTTGTTTTACCTTAAACATCCACTTGCACCCTATGGCCTGCCTATGTGAAGGTAAAGGAGCAAGTGTCCATGTACTGTTGTTAATAAGAGCCTGATACTTGTTAATAAATGTGGTTGAGCCTAACTCAACCCTACAAAATCGGCTTGTAGGGTGAGGATTGTCCCCACTTATAAGCACATGTTCATGTCATATATTGTTCGATGTGAGACTCTTAACACCCCTTCTCACGACCAGGATGAACGTCTGGAGCGTGGAACTAAATGGTGGGCGGCCTAATAGCGGAGTGTCCCAACGGATCTTAAACCGGGCTCTGATATCATGTTAAGAAATGTGGATGGGCCTAACTCAATCCTACAAAACCGGCTTGTAGGGTGAGGATTGCCCCCACTTATAAGCACATGTTCAAGTCATATATTGTCCGGTGTGGGACTCTTAACAATACTCATCAGTCATAGCTGCCAGCCACTTAGGATCTTTCAGTGTAGATTTGTAGGAAGATGGTTCCAGCTCAGTGAGAAGAAGAGTGGGATTTTGTCTAGGCTGTACTATTCCATTCTTTCTTCTGGTGGTCATAGGATGAGTATTATGAGGATGTAAGGGAGGTAAGGGGGAGTTGTCACTAGAAGAAGATGAATTAGAGGGAGAGGTGGAAGAAGATTGGGAAAGAGCAGGTGATGAGGGAGGATGTTGAGAGCTGGAAGTATGGGAAGAGTTGCTGGTAGCCTGATGAAGAGGAGTATGACCAGAACTGCTGCATTGAGTTGAGGCAGAATTGCTTGGTGTAGATGGAGAAAAGTTATTCAGGTTAGCATT